TGGAGGGTTGAAGTTTGGTATTTCTATCTTGTCTTTGCACCGGAAAAGTAAAACTAACTATAATACATTTGGGAACAAAATAACCGAGCAATATTTTCATTTTATCGAACCTTCAAAAATGTATTACTTTTACAACAAAACGCTTTCATTTTAAAGGTAAACTAAATTGCCTTCTATGCTACATACGTTACCATAACATAACATCACGCCTTTTATCCCCGAAGGGGTAGATAGAGGTGCACATTATGCCACTGTACAATGTAACACCCACTTTTCACTGTTTATGTTATGAGTCCCATGTAATAGGGGGTGAGCCTATTGCCATATACCGGGCACAATTCCAGACTCCGTGCTACTACTGAGATTTTTTTTACAAACCCACCGACCCGGAAATCGTACCCGAGACCCCTTACCCGGCAGTCGCACTTGCGACCACTCGGCCAACGAGGCAGTCGCACATACGTTACCAATTAATAAAATACTTGTAGTAGAAAATATTTATCAAGAAATCACGCTCGTGGCTCCGTATCTATGCTTCCAAGTGTATTTTTATCTCTCGGCTATACTTTGTGGTATTTATTTAGTAGTTGTAAACATTTTACTGGGCGTCATTTCATTAAATTTGTTGGTCATCATGACTCAAGATACACGTTACAACTTGCTCGACAGTATAAGCACGAGAGTAACAATAAAAGCCAAGTACATAAAATATTTCATCATTATCATCATCAATAGCCTATAAATGCCCACTGCTGAGCAAAGCCTCTTCTCACACGGAGAGGTTTGAGCATTAATCACCACGCTTGCTCAATGCGGGTTGACGAATTAAAACTATAATCAGAAATTATAACCCCGGCATTCCTCACGATGTTTCCCTTCACCGTTTGTCTGTGGTGTCTAGATAATCTTAGAAAATACATATTATAACCCGGCAAAAGTCACATTGGTACTTGCCGTTTGGTAGGTTACGAACTAACGTCTTCGTGCATGATGCGAGCGTCTTAAATCTACGGGCTACCACGACCAATATCACAAGAAAATACTTTCAAAGATGTTAAATTAAAATGGTGTTAGGGTTTTATGTTTATCATGGTCCCTGGACAGACTATAATATAACTATTAGACGGTAGCCACTCGCTGTACGGTTTCCGAATCCGAAACATTTAAGGAATGTGTACACTATGTATGTACTCGGTTCGTTTCTGCAAATATCCATTATTAAATGTTTAACTTTCCTCTTTTAACATAAAGTCGAAAATCTATTGAAAAAAAATTGTCAGTTTGGTATAAGTTGACTCGCTACCCAATGCACATACTCTCGCATTGTAGTGTGACCTGTTTTTAAATTCGCTCTGTTATATATCAGACCTGCACGCCTGAATACACGTGAAATGTCGAACAAAACGAACCGTGTGAATTTAAAAGCTTGACTAAATAAGAAAAAAGGAATGGTTTTCTTTTCCATTAAAATAACTTGCACATAAAACGAATTTTATATGTACATAGTAAGTATTTTTATTCCACAATACTATTCTATAGTTTTAGTATTAACTAAAACTCTCCATCTACCTTCTCTAGTATTAAATACACTAACATTAATTATATTATAGAATAAATTATAAAAAAAATTGTCGCATCTCACTCTAAAAATAAACCTATTTCCATCCCTCTGTTTGCATACAGCCGCACGTATTGGTGCTTCACCAGACGGGAGCATTTTATCGCTCCTACCGTGGACGCTCATGCCTGTGAAGCAGCAGATATAACCCCCCCACCCCCTTTTCAACCCCAGAGGGTATTTCCCTCGCCCCCATATCACCCTGTATAATCGATCGACTCTCGCCGGATACAGTGTTAAGGAGACGTTGAGTCTGTATTGAAATAAATGCGTTTAGACACCCTGTATGTCAAATGTATTATTATAATGGACGTTGGATTTGTCTCTCTCCGTGGGAGTATTTTTAGTCTTATTATTCGCATAAACAGATCAACAACAACGATGTCTGTGTGTAATTGTGTATAGCAACATTTTGATGTGATTTAAGTATTTGTACTTAGAAGGAAAATTAAAATATTTTTCTCGAATTATTTCAGGAACATTTACAAAAATAACTCTCGGACCTTAAAGTTATTTGGCTTCGTTTTATTAACGAGAATGTAAACACTTTATAAACTTGTTTTGGAAATGGAAAAACAAAAGAAAGTTGATAAGAAAAACCACAAAAATGTGAAAATTATGCTAAATACCGAAAATGTTTTCCTTATGTAAATAGAACTTTTGTAAAACAAATATTTTTACTTGACTACTTTCTTGTTTTATTACAAGATGGTGGATTGAATAAATGTTTACGGGCAACCCTGCTTAGTAATTCCGTATTCACGGTTTTTTAATTCGGACCCCTTTCTAGAAAATTCTTTACTTATTCACTGAAACTTTTAAGGACTTGCAAAAAGCCGGGAGTTTAATTTCTTTGAGACTTTGATGTACCTTTCAGGTTGAGCCTGAAACTCGAGCCTCCGTGAACGGTATCGCGCAATCCGATTAAGGCGTATTATACAGCTGGAGACGTACATGAAAGGTGGTGATAGGCTGACAATGATTTATGTCATTAAAATTAATGACGTGGAAATTGTAGAAAGTATAAAGTTACGATTTTCCTTAAGCCATTTAGGTATTCATAATTGAAGGTATTACAAGCAACTGACTGTTAAAGATAACAATAAAATCTTTCGAAAAATAAAAGCTTCGACGCACTTTTTTAGATCATTTCTTAGTCAGATATTAATTGGTTCATTTTTATTAGGATAATTAAAACTAAAATATTTACACCTTAAAAAATAATAATAATGAAAAAATAATAATACCTAATGAAAAAATAATAATAATGAAAAAAAAAAATTATAAGGCATCAAAGAAAATATTTTCCTCATCGCTACCGTGAGGTAGGGTGCCCAAAAGACTGGCAGCATTGCCACGTTGAATGGCAATGCTTAACCTTTGCCCAAGGTAGTAGCCAGCCCTTCGATCACCTGAAGTGTCAACCATCCTCCTTACAATATCTTTGTAAAGAAGATGTGCACTTGGGCCCCACGGCCCTAAAGTTTCAACCCCAAACGGTTCGAAAGCATAATTGCCAATCAGGCTATTATACTTTCGCCGTTTGAGGTTCTCGGCAGCGGCAGCGGCAGCACCGCTTAGTCAGATTAATATTGATTTATTTACATGATTTGTAATTAGACTTCTTTGAAGTATATTAAAGTAATGAGTTGAACATCTTTGAAGACGAATTATGAAAAGAAATTGATGAATATTGTATACGTTTTCTCGGAAGTGAACTGTAAGTAGAATATAGCTAATAAGTACATATTATAGAACAATACAAGCAGAATATAATCTAATCTACAACCAATAGAGGGCAGACAATTGGATATATTATGATAAGAATCGATTAATATTCAGTAGGTACAAATTAAGTTGATCTCATAATGAATATGGATGCTCAGACCTATAGGCAAGGTGATTAATCGCCCCAATTAATACCAGCCAATCGATGAAAGCCTTCCACCTCGACAGTGTTTACAAATTGCCTGTTTTGTATAAATGGAAAATTGTTGGAGGCCATTTTTATTTTTTTATATTTGGAATTGTCGTCGTGTAAATCTTTTTTGTTATGTATTGTTGTGTATATTTTACAATGCTTTCTGTTATCCTATAGTTCCAACAGGTGTAAGGAATTGGAAAAAATTAGGTAGAAAAAGAAAATCTGATATAACAAAGCTAATACTAAAGATTTAAAAAAAGTAGTCACCTTTATGTACTGAATACATTGTAAAAGGTACACCAACAAGACTGAAGTTCACATAAACCATATAAGTAAACGTCTGTACACGGGGTCACACCCTTTCACGCCTCAGCTACTTAAACCAACTCTTATTAGACCTTAAAAACTCAAAAAGATGTTTCAAGTGACTCGCAAAAGTCCATGAACGTCCTCCAACACCACGTTTCTAGAAAGACTAATCTCGTCACATTTCTATTTCCGTACAAGTGACATTTATCGAGACATACAAAGGCAATACTCGATCCGATCGCGAACCGATTCGAATTCGAATAGAAACGAACTAACATTATTCTTTCTTTGTTTTTGCACCATTTTGTATCGCTTGGTCGTAAAGCCATTGCTTTCAAACTGTTTGTACTACATAGTCATTCATTGATTCTAACTTTAATTGATCTTAGAACCAAACAACTAACATGTCATATTAATCTATCGTGTTTGCTGTTTCGTTCGTCTGTTCTAGATAACTAGATCACTAATAAATAATTCCAAAGTCCGGTCTATGAATTAAACTATAATAGGAATATCTATAACCTTTTCAAAAGGTCAGATGACAATCGTTGAATGCCAGATATTTACTCAACTATCTCCTAAACTATTCAAATGGTTCAAAGCAAGTTCTCAAAGGTCAGGGAGGGTTTTTTAATATATTGAAAATATAAAAACGTTTCTTTAGGGACTGGGACTTTAATCAGACAGACTTTTGTCATCGTTTTAAATTGAAGCCGAGGTCAAAAATGTGACAGAAAAGTAGCTACAACGTTGTATTAACATAATGATAGAGACGTCACGTTTCGGCTTCAAAATATTCAGCTTACTGAATAGCCTAAAGATCAATATCTTTTACGATGAAAGAGAAGCAATTCCCACCCAAATTTTGGTCGAAATACGAATCTTCTTTCCTACCTATTTTATAAAGAAAAGACATGTTGAAAGAAACAGTCTAATCTTTTTTAAGAAAATTGCAGAAAGCATTTTGTTATAAAAATAATTCCAAACACAAAAATCGAGGGACACTTCATTAATAATTCTTGAGACAAACCCCCAAAGGGAAACGAAGCCATCTACGTAATAAGTAATCAAATAAAACAACAGCTTTTGGATTTTTCTTCCCAGGAGCACATGATTGTTGAATAAAAACTTCCCGGAACGGATTTCAAAATGAGATTAATTCCGCCGGTGCTGGCGTGGTAAGTCGGAATTCATTAGCTAGGATTCCGAATCTGTAGACTTTGTAGATGTGTAGTCAGGTAACGGATTCACTGCTATCTTGGCACTGCGTCATTAATTTGCTAAGAAATCCACTACTAACCTTGACCTCATCGGTTCGAAGACTTAGATAGCAAGGACTCGTTTGAAGGTCGTGTCGTCAGCTCAAGGAGAGATTTAAGAAAGAGGTTTTATGCGACGGTTTTTGTAAGCTTTATCACGTACTGGTTTAGTTGGGGTGGCAGTTTCTTTTGTGTATGCAAAGGTCAAAGATCACATTGAATTTTAATAACGCCTAAACTTGTGAAATATTAAACAGTCTTAGAATTCGCTCTTAGAATTAGGAAACGCTACATAAATAACAATTAAGGTAAAATCTAAGAGAATATTTTGCCTCTTCACACGGTAGATAGCTAAGAACATCAATTACATCAGACATGTTGTTCACGAAATTCGGAGGAACAGAAATAGGATTCCGTGGAGCGAGATTTGAATAATAAAAGCAAGTCATCAATAATGCCAGTCATCATAAAGAGGCTCCAGTAAGAACTGGATCCACTTACTGTACCGGTACATTTGTATATTTTATGTATGTATATTCATGAGATCATGTTCTACAGAAACAATTTTCTTTGTTAATCTCATGTTTGTTGTGATGCATTGTGTTTAATAGCTTGTAAAGTGTATAGTACAATAATTTTGTAACATTAGTCACATTAATTCTTTGTAATGGTCGACTTACTGAAATCTTGAGTTAGTGGTTTATAAACCTGTAATTTTTTTATGGGATAAGCTGGTTAACGAACTTTCGGATCACCTGATGGCAAGCAATCGGCGCCGCCCATGGATACCCAGCGCACTAGTGCGTTACCGGCCTTTCGGGCATTAGAAATTTGAGAATTGTTGAGGATTCAGCGATTTTGGAGATTGAGGAGGGGAGTAATAGGACCTCCGGTAACCCTACTCACACGACGAAATACAACGCAAGCGTTGTTTCACGTCGGTTTTTCGTGAGACCGTGGTATTACTCCGGTTGAGCCGGCCCATTCGTGCCGAAGCATGGCTATTCCACACTTGAAAATTACAAGATTTGAAACTCGAAGCGGCTGAAAAGTAACCTTAATATCTAAATGGAGCGCACATTGGTAATACTCCCATGCAATTGTGAAGTGCTACTAACATAGGCTTAAGTTTATTAACTAACGATATATTATAATATTTATGCTAGTCTGTAAGGTCTAATATACGGACTGACCACAGTTACCTGACTATAAAGGTTTAAATAAAAAATCCTCGAAAATCATCTAGAAAACGTTCTGACATCGTTATTAGGTACGACAGGCTACGACCACCAAACAGTAACTTATCCACTTACTATGTTCAAATAAATTCACAATTTCTATTTTGAGTTAAATAGAAATAGCGAACATTCATAGAGACATTACATCCGAATGATACAAATTTAATTCAACATGCGAGCAACACACGCATTAGATACGTTATAACATCCAAATAAAACATACAAATATCAAGTCTATTCTTTTGGAAAATAAATCAAAGGCATACACTCATATATTGCTCCGATCCGAACTCAGTCATTGAACCCGCATATCCAAAATAAGTTTTCTTTTGTATGCCAAACAAGATACGATTCAACATATATTTATTTACTTTCTGAATAAGATAAGGTCGTTAACCCAAAAGCGTTTATATTAGAATGTTTACCCGTGGCTTTGTCCGTATAATCTTCCTTCTTCATACAACTAGCTATATTATATCATGTACAATGTACACGTATGTGAAATTTCGAGAAGATTATTTAAATAGAAGCGTAAAAACAAACTTACTTTGCCATTAAAACACATATTAATAAGGTTGTATTTTTTTTTATTTTATACAATACGACAATAGCGATTGTTGTACCCCGGCTTCGCATTGATGCAATATAAATGTAATAATATAATATAAACCTTATGTTATTATATAAACCTTCATAAAGAATCACTCTATTTGTTATAAAAATCGCATCAAAATCCGTTGCGTAGTTTTAAAGATTTAAGCATACATAGGGACAGACAGACTTCGGATAGCGATTCGATTTGTTTTATGATATGTAGTGATTTGCTAGTTTCAGATTAAATACAAGAATATGTTAACGCGATTTAGTAGTGTAGGCATAGTTTGCAATGAAGCAATGTAGAGACTTTTCATAAATTGACGAAGTATTTTTATACAGATCCTTTTATTCTTGCCTCTAAGCTCACGACTGATCGCCTCCACTCATTCTCGCGACAGGTGAAGTCAAATCACTTCATCTGTTCCCGTTCTAGTCCTATTCCCAATCGATCAATATCTAAACGCCTTACTACGAAGGACATAAAACAATTGAATCGTACTGTTCCTTTCTCTTCACATTATTCAAATGTTCTATTACATTAATGATAAATATATACCCACACTTGAAGATAAAAGTGTGCTGTTTGTGAAAGTAAATAAAAATGGATTACGAGATATCTTTTAATAGATACTCTTTTCTTTGAATTCATTCTCTCTTTACATATTTATGTATGAATGTTCAATAAAACGCTGAAGTAAATAGACCGAGAAAGTATATCATGGGTTTAACACTGAGCGAGTACTTAGGATGTACTAATCTTTATGACACTATTCTATTGAAAAGCTCAAGATAGAAACACTAGTAACATGGAACAAGTTGCGTTGTTTCGTTGTGTAAGTGATGTCATTGGAGCAGAAACAGGTTTGTAGATCGTTTAGTGTTGTGGATGTCCATAGGCGGCGCTTACACTTTGCCATTAGATGCCTTATCTGCAGCTGTAGCCAAATGTCATTTAGCTCTTGTCTACATTAGATTAGAGTAGATGAGATTTTTCATTAGATTAGAAAACCAAATTATATGGAATTGACGTAAACTCTTTCTCCATTCATACAGTGAGACTATGGAACCCGCTCCCGCCGAACATTCGGGACGCCAAGTTTATCTCTATCTTTAACTCGTCGAGTACCGGTTTTATAGACACAATTAAAGAACAATAGGTCGCGGTCACCGGTGACCGCTTGGTGTTTGACAGTTTAAGAGACAAGTGAGAGAACATTATCTTTCCTCCTGAAATATAGATTTGTTTGTCTATATTTTATATATATGTATTATAATTGTATTATATTAATTTGTTTATTGTTTATTATTGTTATTTCTATTGGTAAGAGTCTTATTACTTTTTTTATTAATTGATTTTTATCTTGTTTGTGTAACACACTATGTGTCTCAGTGTTGTTATTTCTTTTCTTGCCACAGGCCCACAGGAAGAAATTTCAATTGGAATATGTGGGGCCTATGTACTCTGTTTTTATATTATGTATTGTCCTTTGTGTTGAATGTGTGTACATAAATAAGTAAATAAATAAAAAATAAATAAATTTTGACACTTGTCAGTATCAACCCCATATATTTTGATTTCTACTCTCTCTGTAGACAAACGCTAAAGTGGCGTTTGGCTAAAGGCACTGTTCGTTTATCTCCAAATTCTTTAAAAAAATATATATTCTGAAGTAACTGAAACCCTGAACTCTAACCTTTACGTATCTAAATACAGAAATCTTCTTTCAATTTTCCGCTGATACAAACAGTGAGGCGTCAACGGTACATCAATCTTAATATCTGAAATGGAGTCGGATGGAAAAGTAGTACTGTACATAATGTGGATACAAATATATTCATTGGTATAGGGTGTCCCTGAAGTCAAAGTCCAACTGACATCGGCAAAGTTATGTTGACAAAGAAAAATTTAATAGCTAAAGTCTCTGTACTAAGCAAATCTGGACTAACTAAAAATCGTTGGTTACTCATGTCAATATACTGAGAAAAGCTCTACTAGTTTCAAGCCCCAGGGTTCTTCCTCATGAGCAGCGTTCACAGTCGCAGCGATGTCGCGCAGCCTACTGACCTCGCCTCGTCGTTGTGAGTAACCCGTGATTTTTGGTTAATTTAGTATCTCTCACGACAGTTATTATTAAAAAATAGGCAAATCTTTATTTTTTTCTTTTCAAATTATACTACCTAAATTATTTTGTAACCGCTGCCTGCTACTATTTTTTATTTAAACTGTACAACACCGCGAGGATTCCGGTGACCGCAACCTATTGTCTTTAATTGTGTCTATAATGACAGTAGGTACTCAAAGGGTTAAGCTGAAGTAATTGCTTTTGAATGTAAGGTTCCAGGTTCCAGAAACCTTAATCAGTAAACGTGAAAAATATAACAAAAAATATAGATAAAATTCTCTATAACTTTAAAGTAACTAGATTAAAAATACATGACTTTTACTCTTTTCTTCTTTTATTTTTCCAAAAATTGTAGTAGCTTTGCATAATATATTATATCACTGTGAGTTGGTTGGATGTCGACTTCTAGAACACTCTGTATTATACTTTACATCATACCCATTACGTCACCAGTCACGTATATACGCTGCTGATGTATGCATGAATGTGGTTCCTCCTCCTCTGATTTATGAAGGTAATCTCCATGGCAACGGGACAGTATTTCCAACTTAAATGTTATCCTTATAATGTTGTAACTAGATTTATTTATATGGTACCAATGCTTCTTGCGCGACGTTTTACTTTGTTATCTGTGGTTTGTATAAGTGCTATGCATGTGTGTGTGTAAATATTAATTTCTATAATCGCTAGTTGGCGCCACTGACGTTTATAGTCTTATACGTTTGTTTTTGACTCTCTCTATCTCTCTCTAGCTACAATTTTAAGATATTGACTAACAAGGACTATCAATGGTTATTTCATACCATTTTTGATCCATTGAAGATACTTTCTTACAAATTCCAAAGCATTACTTCGTGAATAAGCACCAACATATACTTAGCACCAAAAACCTTTCATTCATTAATGTATTAACACCAGCTCATCAAGCTACACCAATCTGCCAAAATGCTCCAAAACATTT